CCTGCCCCCCCTGCCCCCCTCCCCGTCCTCCGACTCCACATTCAGGTTTTCACCTTCAGACACTTCAGAGCGCCTCAGTTTGCGTCATTCTTACTCTGTCTTTCTGGGCAGCGGCTCATTTCACCTCCATCATTCACCATTTTTACACAAATCTCTCTCTCTCTCTCCCGTCTCTTTGTGTCCTCCCTCGCTCCCTCTCGTGCGGCTTTAATCTATTTAGCGTCTCCTCCTTTGATTAGCCTGTGATGTGGCGACTCCTCAGACTCTGTTGCTGACAGAGTCTGAACCAGAGGCACATTTATTATGCAGTCCTGCTGTCGCAATGATGCGCTCTTGTCCCGAGTTGTTGTTGTGCCTAAAGCCAGTCAACCTTGACTGAATACACACACACACACCAACACACACACCAACACACACACACACCAACACACGCCCCAGTCTGCACGCGGCTGAGAGTATCCGTGGAGCAGCAGCAGAGCGAGGAGCGGAGGGAGAGCCGTTTATTTTGCACTGAATTCCCCTCAGTGATCTCAATTAGCATACGAGGAATCCATCCACCGTGAGGCGCTGCGCTCAGGAAGTAGAATGAAACATAATAAAGTCCAAATATTATTGGAGACCTCCACTGTGTGTGATATTGATATGCCTTCTGTTTGTCGGTGTCCCCGCAGGAACGGAGGGGTTACTACATGTGTCTGTCTGTGTCTGGTTAATCTCCACACTCCTTTTCGAGTTTCCTGCCAAAAAATCAGTGTGTGGTATTCTGACGCCCCGGTCTCTGTCTTCCAGGTTGACGGCCGGTGACATGTCCATCCAGGTGAACTTCAACGACTACCTGGACATTTACTGTCCTCACTATCCCGACGATGGAACCCTGGGCTCCGGGCAGCCGGAGTCTCTGGCCCTCTACCTCGTCAAAGAGTCGTCCTTTCGGGGCTGCGTGGAGACCACCGGCGCCATCAGGAGGTGGGAGTGCAACACGCCCCACGCCCCGTTCGGACCGGTGCGCTTCTCTGAGAAGATCCAGAGGTTCACGCCCTTCTCCCTGGGGTTTGAGTTCATGCCTGGTCAGCACTACTACTACAGCTGTGAGTACACGCCACGTACTGTACTGTACTGTACTGTACTGTACTGTACTGTACTATACTGTACTGTACTGTACTGTACTGTATGTGTGTAGAATATCTGGGTTGGTTTGTGAATTATTTTGTGTAGAATATCTGGGTTGGTTTTTAACATCATTCAACGTTGGAAACTAGAGTACAAAAAAAAAGTGGTTTCCAAAATGAGGGGCGGACCCCCAAAAGTGGCGCAGGCAATTGAAATGCATCATGCTTGAGAATTGAACCTTCACTGATTTTTCTTTTTGAATCCCTTTTTTCAATTTAGTTTTGTAGAAATTCTGGGGTTAAATATATATATAAATATATTTACCGTGAAGATCTGTAGCTTTAGACAAGAATGTGTCAACATGGGGGTCGGGGACCGTGGGCTTGACACCCCTGAACCAGATCAGTAAATTCACTCCTGAACGAGTTACGTTTGGTTGATCAACGACTTTTGTTGTTTGAAGTTGAGGTTCATCACCTGTGGAGAAGTGTATCGTCGTCGTCAGGAGGTCGTGGTCGTTAGGGTCAGGTGACCAACTGTGATTTTATGACGAGGTTTTTTTTTGCACAGTAATTATTTGTTAAAACGTACAATGAAATTACTGTAGAAAAAAAAATTTTTTTGGTAAACTTTACACCTGTGTTACACCTCTTGTCTCTTCGTCCTCCCCTCGCTCACGTGTAAACCCAGTGATGAGTGAAGAAGGTCAAGGGTCAGAGGGAGGCTGTTAAATCACTGATGGGTCTCATTTGTTTGGTTTGAAAACCTGCCTGAGAATAAAAGAGCGGAGCGAGTGCAAAAGTATCTAAGGGTGACAACAAAGAGGGCCGCACATTTGTGGGAGGGGGAGAGAGACGGAGATCGATACACGACGACAGTAAAAGGGGGGGAGACAGAGGGGGAGGAGGAGGGATGAAAGTACCAAGTAAAAAGTATTCGTCAAGGTTTGGATAAAGACTTTCAGGTACCTGATTGCGCCGTGCGCCGCGGCTGGGTGGAGCTCTCATGGCTGAGGGGAGGGACTTGCTGGGCGAGGGGCTTTGATGAGAGCAGATGAAAATATTAAAACCATGTTTTAAAAAAAGAAAACAGCAACTTGTCGCCAAAGGTGAGTCAGAAACCGCGGTCACACCTGGGCGAGGGCACAGCAGAGGAGTTGGCGGAGGTGACAGCACTCTCTCCTTCTCCGTCTCCTCCGCCGTTGATGCTCTCTGCAGCCATCATCACTGTGGACAGGGAAAAGCAACAACAAAGTGATGGAGAACAGGGGACGAACGAGACAAAGGGAGAGAGAGAGAGAGAGAATCTTTACATAAATTACTGTTGCGCTCCCACAAAGGACAATGAAGCATTGTGAGGACACACACACACACACACACACACACACACACATACTGGGCTATTGTAGCTGCTCGGACCAGTTCACAGAGAAGCAACAATGGGTCCAACCCCCCCGGTTGGGCCACATCGTGCTCACAGCAATTGTGTGTGTTTTGTCCACATCAAAGATAAGGCTTAAAGTTGGTCCAAACGTCTGGCTCTGGGGCCGCGGCTGCTCAATGGCTCCGCGGCAGCAGAGACAGTACAATGGGAGAGGAGAACAATAGTATTTACAGACATTAATAGCATTAAGTGGCTCAGACTGAGACCAGCTCAGACCCCCCCACACACCCCCCCTCTCTCTCTCTGTGGCTCTCACAGACCATGACACTGACAACCCACAGATGCTGAGCCGCTGACCCGCTGCCCCACCGCGCTGACAGACACCCACTGCTTCTACATGCCTGGATCCCCACAAACAGGAAACACCTTTAATCTGGACATTATTATTATTATTGGTATCATTTGTTCATTTATAACATCAACTTTAACCAATACTATTAATTTAAATGCAGTGGAACAACGAGCAGAAACAAAGATGGGAGTTAAACGTATTTATTATTCATTGGCCGCAGCATTTACATTCAATCAGAGACGCTCAACACTGACACCGTATGGTCAATTATAGTATCACTATAAAGCAGCAGGAAGCCCAGCTGAGGTGCTATGTTCTACACAAGCATATAAGAATTTTTATATATATATATATTTATATTTTTTATATATTTTTTATATGTGTATATGTGACTGTGTACATATGCATATATGTAAAAAAAAACAAAAAGCGGTATCTATGTAATTATAATAAGTCTGTTGTGTCCCGCAGGGAAAAAAGCGACTTTAAAAACAAAACAACAAAAACAAAAACAGGAAAAACAACAGAAAAAACTTTAAAGAAAAATCTTCTACGAAATGGTTTAAAAATTCATGGCAGGCGGCGACTGCTAGACAAAGAAAAACATCATCTTTGATATGAAGAAGACGGTAATAAACACGAGACGTAATAAATCGGCAGAAGGAAGAGAAACTGCAGTACTGTGAGTTGTACACACACACAGAGAGTATTTCCAGGAGATAATATTTTTAACAAATGGCGGGAAAAGAAGAAAAAAGACTCTTATTTACGTCAACTCGTTCTCGTTCTTCTTCTTCTTCTTCCTGCATCAACTCGTTCTAGTTCTTCTTCTTCTTCCTGTTCTTCTTGGATGTAAAAAGGGAGTTGTGAATGTTTTCCGCAGCGACGACGTCGTAACTGTCGCTGGTGACGGTGATTAATTGGCAGAGTGTTTGAAATCTCAATTTACTGATCGCTGTGGCGTGAACGACTTAGTGGCCGCGATGAAGACAGGCTGGAGATGAGTGACTGGAGAAGAGAGTGATTTCAGAGAAAAGGAGAGAGAGATTTAGTCTGGGTTTGTTTTTTTTATATATAATTTTCTGTTTTACACCAGTGGTGAGTTTGGTGTGTCGTACTTAAATGGCAATAACACTTTAGAAAATACAGTTAATTTACTCACTAATGTAACACTAGAAAATAACTAGTCTTTTACCCATTAACATTTTGCGATTGTTTTTTTTTGTTTGTTTTTTTTAATGCAAAAGTCACAACCTTTCTTGTTGGTCAAATACATTTAAACTTATTTCACAGTTTGTTTGTTTTTTGACTAAAAAACTTTAACAAAATTCTTCCACTTCAGTCTCTTTGTTACCAGTGGTTCAGACGTCGTTAAAGCAGCTCCATTTAATTTGGTCGACTCATCTGTGTCGTCACACACTCAGACATTTTACTTGTTTTCCTCCAACTGTACTTCCTTCGGCGCCCCCTTTTTGCAGATAGGATTATAGTCCAACGTTACCAACGTTAACACATTTGAAGTATAAAAAATAAAAATAACAACATGAGAGTGATTTTTTTTCTTGGGACCCATATTTTAAAAGTCACAAACCTTCACGACTCAAGTCAATAGACATGATGCAAGACGACCCAAAAAAATTTTTTTTGCGACTAACCTGAGGGTCGCGACCCAGTCTTTGGGAAACAATGCTCTACACCCCCTGATATATTTCATCCATATAAAGAGAACGCGACATTTTCAGGATGTTTTTTTTATATATTTCATCCATATAAAATGCTTTATTTTCAGACCATGTTTTATTCCTCCATATTTGTTAAATATGTGATTTTTGGATTTGGATTTTTCCTGTGACACTCTCCTCATCTGCTGTAAAGACACCAGTCGTTAAAGTATATAAAAGTCACACTCCCCTCAACACCGGATGATAAACATTATTTATAGAGGGTCTGGGGCTCGAGAAGCCCCCTGTGGTAATAAAGCCGTACCTTAAGGACTTTTATTTATTTAACCTTTCCTTTCACAGTTGGTCTCAGTGGGAGCTGAGTCCCGTTCTCAAGGAAGAACTGTTTCTAAAAGACATTTTCCTACAGACAGACAGGAAAACCACGTCGGGGCGGGACGGTCGATCAAAATGGAAAAATATTCCGAGATGTTTCAAGTGCCCTTAACGGTTGTTTAAAATACCCCCATGGTACGAGACGGAACAATTTCAGAAGTTTTCAAGGTTGTAGAACAGTCACCTCTGTGGGAACTGACGGAACTCTGTAGGTTGTCGATGCCTCGGAGGGCAGGTTGTCACTGCACATGATGTGGGGCAGCTACAGGAGGAGGAGACGGTGGAGGGCAGTAATCCAGACGAGGGCGTTGACGTCGTCTGACAGTAACGCTGATGTAACAATTCGTACGTTACTTTCCTAGTCTTTGCTAATGAAGAGAAACTCGGCAGTGGGTTGTTCTGTCAGATGGTAGTGTCTATGGTCAGTTTTTTTTTTTTTTTTTTACTCTTGGCTTTGTGACCGTTGATCTGCTGGTCACGTAGTCGCAGAATCACTCAACGACTTTTACTCTTTTTAGGAACCTTGGTTGAGTGGATGATAAAATATCAGTGTAAGCCAATCAGAGGTATAAAGTGTGGTTGCACAAACGAAAAAAGGAAAAAAAACATGACTTTGACGCCTCAGATCATGAATTTCTGTCAATACCCTAGTCATGAAGAAGTTACGAAAATCCAAAAGTCTGTGGTGGATAAATAACCAAGTCCGGCTCCAAGAACGTTAGAGCTCCTTGGTAAAACTGACTGAGACGTTGAACAATATAAATGGAACTGTCCTTTATTTTGGAAGAGACAAAGACTCGTCATCTGTCTCCTCCGTTTGTCGTTTGCAATCAGATCTCTGCAAAGAGACAGACAGACAGATAGAATAGATAGATTAATCCCTCGGGAGTTCCCTTCGTGAAATTTAGGAGACGTTGGTGACAAAGTCAGACCTTTGTAATCCGGACAGAACACTTTTTCCTCACTGATAATCAATAACGTACAATAAATAACAAAAATTTCCGGCCCAGTCGGAAATGACCGACACGATACTGGTCCGAGGTCCAGTGATTTAAACCACCTCCCAGTGAGATATTTCCGACGACTTCATCAGCTCTACACGTTGTCTTCACTTTTCGCCGAGTGATTTCAGCCGCTATAGGTATCGACTGAAGCTTCGGTCCAGCTGCTGTTGTTAGCGGCGGCGGCGGCAGCGGCGTCGCGCCACCCGTACATAAAAGGTGGAATTGGAATCAAATTGAGACAGACTGTGCCATTACACGCATCACACGTCCCCGGTGAGTTAGCAGCTGTTTGTGAATTATTCAAATATAAAGGCCTTTAACTGCACTTTCCAGACACATCTATTCGGTAAAGGGATTGCTAAGCTGACAGCTAATATAGTTGATGTTTGACCGTTTTCCCGTGTGAGCCATGATCGGAATTGATACCAGGGCTGTTGCCTTCTTTTATGGCTGCACTCCCGTTTTTATTGTTTTTATTTAGTTGTGTAGATAAGTGTGATATGCGGCCGCCTCGGAGACACGGCGAGATGAGTCATTCTTCATCCTGGAATCATGGGGTTTTGATGTAGTTTCACTCTTAAAGGAAGAGACCTTAAAGTAGCAGGACAGTATTTTTCACGGTGTGAAGATAAAGATGTCGTCGACATATATAGGAAAGAGAAAGCGAAGACTTTTTTTTTTTTACTACCAACTGTATAACTCTTAAGACACAATAAAACTAAAATAAAATCAAACTTCTGGTCCTGGAAACGCCCGTATTTTCAGACCGTGTCTGTCCAGATCTGTCGTGAACATTTCCCCAGATCGTGCAGAGCAGAATCCGACGATCACTCAACTTTTGTAAATTTATTTTCACTATATTAAATAGAGGAAAAACTGAGTTTCTTCTTCAGTCGCGGAACAAACATTGAAAGGATAAAAAAGACCAATGAGACCCAGTTGTAAACTTAACATTTGCTGCTGGAACCAGTCAGTAAATTAGTTAGAATGAGTGTATTAGAATGTAAATAAAATAGTTCCAGGGTTGGTTCTTATATCCCTCTATAGCCCAATATATAAACATATAAACTACCATAGAGTTTGAGTATTTATTTTTAACCCAAGCTGCTCATTAACATCCCTGAAGTCGTTACGTTTTCCTCTGTTGGTATTGTTTTTTTTTTTTATAATTCAATGACAAAGATGTTTGAATTTAACGACTAAACCACCCAACATTCAATTTGTGACTAACCCTCATATGCCTAACAGTTCTGCATGTCTCAGAGCGCCCCCTGGAGGCCAATAAAGTTTGTTTTTTTTAATGAACTTGATCTAAACTGAATGTTTTTCCTCCTGCAGCTCTGCCAACAGACGAAGGCCCCGCGCTGCCATGTATGAAGTTGCGTATCACCGTGTGCTGTGAGCACAGTAAGTCTCGCCCTCTTTTCATCTCTTTACTTCACTTTAG